GTTCAAATCTGCAAAGAGGCAGATTTGTAAAACTGAGCTTGACTTCCAGGTTGACCTAGGCTAAAATGTGTAGGAAGTAACATCCTGGGATGTAAAAGTAGCTGACGTCATGATGATAATATCAATCACCCAGTGCCAACCACTGATGTCATGCTGATCATATCAATCATCCAGTGCCAACCACTGATGTCATGCTGATCATATAAATCACCCAGTGCCAACCACTGACGTCATGCTGATTATATCATCCACCCAGTGCCAACCACTGAAGTTATGCTGATTATATCATCCACTCAGTGCCAACCACTGATGTCATGCTGATTATATCATCCACCCAGTGCCAACCACTGATGTCATGCTGATTATATCATCCACCCAGTGCCAACCACTGATGTCATGCTGATTATATCATCCACCCAGTGCCAACCACTGATGTCATGCTGATCATATCATCCACCAATGCCAACCACTGATGTCATGCTGATCATATCATCCACCCAGTGCCAAACTGGTCTATTTAATTAAAGTTGAAGTTACATTCTGAGAAGTTAAAGTTGAGAGGATCGACTTCATTGCACAGAGTTTTATCCCATATGGCTCAGTCTCTCTGCAGAACAGCTAGCCACCTGCCAAGAGCGCCTTACACAGCATGAACTCTGTAGCTCCGGCGACCCCTGGAAGCTCCCTAAAAACTGCACTCATGAACTGAGGGGCACAGCCGTAGAACAAACCAACGACCTTCAGAGCAGAGCAGGTGGCAAGTGGCTTGACCACTTTGCCATGGAGACCTCCTGGTAAATACAGTACAGGTCTAGCACTATGTGCCGGAGGCATCGGACACATGGAAGGGTTGTCTACAAATGTTACTGCTGTACTATTAACAAATGATACTCAGTAGTTAACATTCACTGCAAACAGAGTTGGGGTGGGGGGGGGGGGGGGGGGGGGGCAGGTTAAGAGCACTGATTGTCATATACAAATATTGGGCTAGCATCAAAAACCCAGCAAAGCTTCAGATGTGCAGAAAGGTGCGGAACTTCAAATATGGGTTCAGTTAGAAAATAAAGTTTTCAAGCTTTTAGCAAATTATGTTAAATGGACTGCAGCAAGTCTGTATGTTTGTGTAAAAAAAAAAAACAATCCAACCCTCTGATTTCTGCTCTGTGGCTAAAGCTACTGTAACTGCAGGCAGCAAGCAGTCACTGATGAACTACAAGACGAAAGAAACAAATCTCAAGGAACTGACACTCACCTCTTCCAGACCTGAATGTCTGTCTCCACAGCAAACAACAAGTCCGAGAGAAGCTTCTGGTGTAGGAATGACCAACGGAACTCTGGGATACGGAAGGCAGGTGCCCGGGGTCCAGGACTGAAGATGTGTCCACCTCCCCGACTAGCAATGGATGGGTTTCTCTGGAGTGAGGGCACGCCTGGGCCTGCCTGATTTTGTGGATGTGTTGATCTTGCTCGGGAAGATTCACTTCTGTCTCTGTCATGTGACTCAAACAAGCTTGCCTCATTGTGACTGATCAGACATACAGCAATAGACATGTGCTGATTCAGATAATACAGCTTCAATAAAATATGCATTCTTCAAGATATAAAGGTTGAACTGTAAATAAAACACAATGAGTGACAAGTAGAAATGAGAGCATGAATCAAAACACAATGAGTGACAAGTAGAAATGAGAGCATGAATCAAAACACAATGAGTGACAAGTAGAAATGAGAGCATGAATCAAAACACAATGAGTGACAAGTAGAAATGAGAGCATGAATCAAAACACAATGAGTGACAAGTAGAAATGAGAGCATGAATCAAAACACAATGAGTGACAAGTAGAAATGAGAGCATGAATCAAAACACAATGAGTGACAAGTAGAAATGAGAGCATGAATCAAAACACAATGAGTGACAAGTAGAAATGAGAGCAAGAATCAAAACACAATGAGTAACAAGTAGAAATGAGAGCATGAATCAAAACACAATGAGTGACAAGTAGAAATGAGAGCATGAATCAAAACACAATGAGTGACAAGTAGAAATGAGAGCATGAATCAAAACACAATGAGTGACAAGTAGAAATGAGAGCATGAATCAAAACACAATGAGTGACAAGTAGAAATGAGAGCATGAATCAAAACACAATGAGTGACAAGTAGAAATGAGAGCATGAATCAAAACACAATGAGTGACAAGTAGAAATGAGAGCATGAATCAAAACACAATGAGTGACAAGTAGAAATGAGAGCAAGAATCAAAACACAATGAGTGACAAGTAGAAATGAGAGCATGAATCAAAACACAATGAGTGACAAGTAGAAATGAGAGCATGAATCAAAACACAATGAGTAACAAGTAGAAATGAGAGCAAGAATCAAAACACAATGAGTGACAAGTAGAAATGAGAGCATGAATCAAAACACAATGAGTAACAAGTAGAAATGAGAGCAAGAATCAAAAACACAATGAGTAACAAGTAGAAATGAGAGCATGAAATCAAAACACAATGAGTAACAAGTAGAAATGAGAGCATGAATCAAACACAATGAGTAACAAGTAGAAATGAGAGCATGAATCAAAACACAATGAGTAACAAGTAGAAATGAGAGCATGAATCAAAACACAATGAGTAACAAGTAGAAATGAGAGCATGAATCAAAACACAATGAGTAACAAGTAGAAATGAGAGCATGAATCAAAACACAATGAGTAACAAGTAGAAATGAGAGCATGAATCAAAACACAATGAGTAACAAGTAGAAATAAGAGCATGAATCAAAACACAATGAGTGACAAGTAGAAATGAGAGCATGAATCAAAACACAATGAGTAACAAGTAGAAATGAGAGCAAGAATCAAAACACAATGAGTAACAAGTAGAAATGAGAGCATGAATCAAAACACAATGAGTGACAAGTAGAAATGAGAGCATGAATCAAAACACAATGAGTAACATACAGTCATTATGTAAGATAGTCATACAGTCATTATGTAAGATGGTCATACAGTCATTATGTAAGATGGTCATACAGTCATTATGTAAGATGGTCATACAGTCATTATGTAAGATGGTCATACAGTCATTATGTAAGATGGTCATACAGTCATTATGTAAGATGGTCATACAGTCATTATGTAAGATGGTCATACAGTCATTATGTAAGATGGTCATACAGTCATTATGTAAGATGGTCATACAGTCATTATGTAAGATGGTCATACAGTCATTATGTAAGATGGTCATACAGTCATTATGTAAGATGGTCATACAGTCATTATGTAAGATGGTCATACAGTCATTATGTAAGATGGTCATACAGTCATTATGTAAGATGGTCATACAGTAATTATGTAAGATGGTCATACAGTCATTATGTAATATGGTCTACCAGTCATTATGTAAGATGGTCATACAGTCATTATGTAGATGGTCATACAGTCATTATGTAGATTGTCATACAGTCATTATGTAAGATGGTCATACAGTCATTATGTAAGATGATCATACAGTCATTATGTAAGATGATCCATACAGTCATTATGGAAGATGGTCATACAGTCATTATGTAAGACTATCATACAGTCATTATGTAAGATGATCATACAGTCATTATGTGAGATGGTCATACAGTCATTATGTAAGATGGTCATACAGTCATTATGTAAGATGGTCATACAGTCATTATGTAAGATGGTCATACAGTCATTATGTAAGATGGTCATACAGTCATTATGTAAGATGATCATACAGTCATTATGTAAGATGGTCATACAGTCATTATGTAAGCTGGTCATACAGTCATTATGTAAGATGGTCATACAGTCATTATGTGAGATGATCATACAGTCATTATGTAAGATGGTCATACAGTCATTATGTAAGATGGTCATACAGTCATTAAAGATGATCATCAGTCATTATGTAAGCTAAGTCCACAGTCCATTAAAAGATGGTCCATACAGTCATTTGATGGTCATACAGTCCATTATGTAAGATGGTCATACAGTCATTTGTAAGGAATCATACAGTCATTATGTAAGCTGGTCATACAGTCATATGTATGTAGCTGGTCATACAGTCATTATGTAAGCTGGTCATACAGTCATTATGTAAGATGATCATACAGTCATTATGTGAGATGGTCATACAGTCATTATGTAAGCTGGTCATACAGTCATTATGTAAGATGGTCATACAGTCATTATGTAAGATGATCATACAGTCATTATGTAAGATGGTCATACAGTCATTATGTAAGATGGTCGATAACAGTCCATTATGTAAGATTGATCATACAGTCATTATGTTAAGCTGGTCATACAGTCATTATGTAAGATGGTCATACAGTCATTATGTAGTATGGTCATACAGTCATTATGTAAGATGGTCATACATCATTATGTAAGATGGTCATACAGTCATTATGTAAGATGGTCATACAGTCATTATGAGATGGTCATACAGTCATTATGTAAGATGGTCATACAGTCATTATGTAAGATGGTCATACAGTCATTATGTAAGATGGTCATACAGTCATTATGTAAGATGGTCATACAGTCATTATGTAAGATGGTCATACAGTCATTATGTAAGATGGTCATACAGTCATTATGTAAGATGGTCATACAGTCATTATGTAAGATGGTCATACAGTCATTATGTAAGATGGTCATACAGTTATTATGTAACCAACAGATTTCTAGTTTTGTTAAAAAATATCTAGGGATGTCCAAAGATTTGTAAAAATGTTCACAAGTATGGCCCATTGATCCTTACAAGTGATCAACTGTCAGGACCAAAAAACTATAATTATGACCAAGGTTCTCTAATAATAATCAATGAATTATGATCAATGGTCATCAGTAATTTTGACCACTGGTCTATAAACACGACTACAGATTTTTATAGTCCAGACCCAATGATGTCTATTTATGCCCCCACATCTCTAGTGCTGCCCAAAGACCTCTAAAAACACTCAAATACCTTCAGCAACACTAAAACCATCCATATCGGGGGGGTGACCAACCTACAACCCTCAGGCCACAACTGGCCTGCTCAGCAATGTTTACTGGCCCATGAGGCTGATGTAAAATTCCTATATAATTTGACCCTTGAACTCACAACAAGCAGAACACTAAAACATATGTTTGTTTGCAGAAAGAAAAAAAATCATCAAAATATAATCTATAACAAATGAAAAAAAATGATAAACTCAAACAGTGATCTGCACCCAAAAAACTAGCTTGAACAGACACAATTAGGAATATATAGAAGTTCTTCAATGGGTGAGTATGGCCAAAAACGTAGTTATATATATTTTCTTAAATCCATTATAAACATTACACCCAGATTTCTTTATGACATGATATTTTAGTAGGATAATCTGAGATTACATTCCCTCACTACATTTTTGGCCATACTCATATATATATATATATATATATATATATATATTGTTGCATGCTGATTCATGTGAGTTGTAACCTTGGGGCAGGACAACATAATGGGATAGTGAGTTGTCGGGAGTCCACGAGAATGTTCATGTTACCTGTGTCGTATATGTGTACCCAGTGCAGGACTCAGCCATGGAAATATTGTCGATTGAGTAATTATTTGGACAAGTGTAAAGGGACTTGACACAGGTGGACAACAAAAGCCAACAGGTAGTAGCCGTGTGGGTTTTAACTTAGAATATTTGACATGAGATAAGCCGATGACGTTGTAAGAAGGCATGTCATGGGGCCTGAGTCAGCCTTTGAGTTGTAATTCTACAGACAACAGAGGTCCAGATGATAGGAAGATTTCCTTATTCATCTGTCTACAACGAGCCCCGGACGTGCGGGATGCTGTAGACCTACGAACTTAGCGGCTATCGTAACGTAATGGCAACCCTGCAGGCAGGTCCGGTAGAGAGCGAAGCTATACGGGTTGTAGCGAGTGGCAGGAGGAGATAATATGGAAACGTATTAGCCCAGGACATATGTCCACATCTCTTCGCTTAATGTTATATGTGAGGGATTGTGTCTAACCCCTGTGGCGTGACAATAAACCCTGGGATTGTGAGGTACATCAACATTGTTTTCTGACAAACATAATGGAAGCCAGAACTGTAACCTAGAGATACTTGCATGACAACATATGGCCTTGTGGTACACCCAGAATAGCACACAACACACATATATATACATATATATGGCCAGACACCAGGTTGATAATTCTAAAACTGGGCCATGGACCAAACAAAGATGCCCACCCCTGATGTAGACAAATGTTTATAGCTGTCTAGAGTTTTCAAGCAATGCTCTGAGATGTCAATTTATGAACTCAAAACTTTGAACAACAAGCCAAATATAAACTTACCCATTTGATAAGCTGACACCCCCTGCTGCTTCTCCAAGTTTGGAATCTTCTGATCTGGACTGTGCCACCTCTGAATGTTTCTCTACCTTATCTTCTTCTATTACTTTAGCTTCCTCAGTCACTTTCTCGTCTGTTGGTTTCACAGATCGCTCATTCTCATCTTCCCTTTCATTCAGTCCATCACCTCTTTCACCTTCAGCACCTGCCTCAGCATCTTTCTTTGCTTCTATCTTTCCTGAATCATTACTATCATCAACTTCTGCTTTTACACTCTCAGCATCTTCCTCTCGGTTCTCCACGTCTTTTGATCCCTCCTCTCTCCTTCCATTTGCTGCGGTTATAGCTTCTGCTTCTGAATCAGATACTTCAGAAATTTTAACTGATGATTTCCGGGGCGGTCGCTGATTTTCACCATGGGAGATGCCAGAAATAGTGCTGATGGGTCGCTGCTGTTGTTCAGACGGGTCTGAGATGTTGTCGGCTCTGTTCTGTTCAAATTGTTGGTACATTTTAGACATGTGGATCTTGAAGTCTTCATAGGCCACCTGACAACAACAGCGGAAGTGGACGTGCATGAAATAAAATCATCATTACAACCATAACAGAATATTTATCAATGGCTGCAACAGGTAAGAGGAAACCACAAACATTAACTTTTTAAGAAGAAGGGGAAATCACAAACATTAACTTCACAAGGAAAAGGGGAAACCACAAACATTACTTTTTAAGAAGAAGGGGAAACCAAAAACATTAACTTTATAAGAAGAAGGGGAAACCACAAACATTAACTTTTTAAGAAGAAGGGGAAACCACAAACATTAACTTTTTAAGAAGAAGGGGGAACCACAAACATTAACTTTTTCAGAAGAAGGGGAAACCACAAACATTAACTTTTTAAGAAAAAGGGAAAACCACAAACATTAACTTCACAAGAAGAAGGGGAAACCACAAACATTAACATTTTAAGAAGAAGGGGAAAATCACAAACATTATTTTTTAAGAAGAAGGGTTACATCCCGTTCTCTCTCTACCAAGTAACATGGCTCCGAAAGCAAAGAAACCCGCAGCGAAGGCTCCAGCAGCAAAGGAGGAGAAGAAGGAAGCAGCACCTGCAAAGGCCGCAGCTCCTGCTAAATCTGCTGCACCAAAGACATCAAAGGCTGCAGCTAAGGCTGCTGCACCACCCAAAGTTGATGCTGGTGTAGTCAAGGCTAAAGATAAGGCACTGAGGGCCAAAAAGTCTGTTGTCCGCGGAACTCATGATAAAAAAAATCGTAAAATCAGGACGTCTGTCCATTTCCGCCGACCCAAAACACTGAAGCTGCCCAGGGCTCCTAAATATCCACGTAAAAGTGTCAACAAGACCAACAAACTTGATCAGTACTGTCTGATCAAGCATCCATTGACCACTGAGTCGGCCATGAAGAAGATTGAAGATAACAACACACTGGTCTTCATTGTTGACAAGCGGGCCAACAAGCCAATGATTAAGTTGGCAGTCAAGAAGCTGTACGATATTGAAGTCGCAAAAGTCAACACACTCATTCGCCCTGACTGCGAGAAGAAAGCCTATGTAAGGATAGCTCCTGATTATGATGCATTGGACATTGCAAACAAGATTGGCATCATCTAAATATGAGGCGTTTTGATTCAATAAACTTTCTTGAAATTTGCAACAACAACAAAAAAATTTAGAAGAAGGGGAAACCACAAACATTACTTTCTAAGAAGAAAGGAAAACCACAAACATTAACTTTTTTTAGAAGAAGGGGAAGCCACAAACATTAACTTTTTAAGAAGAAGGGGAAACTACAAACATTAACTTTAAAAAAAACTGACCATGGGACATCACTTTAGCAACAAACACTGACCATGGAACATCACTTTAGCAACAAACAATGACCATGGAACATCACTTTAGCAACAAACAATGACCATGGAACATCACTTTAGCAACAAACAATGACCATGGAACATCACTTTAGCAACAAACAATGACCATGGAACATGACTTTAGCAACAAACACTGACCATGGGAAAACACTTCAGCAACAAACACTGACCATGGGAAAACACATCAGCAACAAACACTGACCATGGGACAACCTACCAACAACTCCCATTCTTTTTCTTTGTTTACCGGCGGCAAGTACCGGCGGTAAGTACCGGCAGAAAGTCCTGGCTGTTCATACATTTGGATTTTGACTTTAGGCCAGGGCCTGAGTTTTGTGTGTACATCTGTTTTACTGGCTTATTTGTGTGCAGCTGGTTGTTCCTAGCGACCTGGGCACCCTGACTTCTAAGGAAGCTCCAAATTAGTCGACTGTTTTTGTTTTTGGTAGACAGCAGGTCAATTCTTGTTTCCCCCTCAATGAAGCTCTGGAACCCACCTTGAGATGATTCCCATTCAAACAGGTCATTCTACCTGTGTCGTTTCAAGGACCTCATTGGGGGGGGGGGGGGGGGGGAGACTCACTGTTCATCCTCAAAATCATGTTTAATTAGGGGTGTTTCCTTCAAAGACGGAGTGTATCTGAGAGGTAAAGAATAGTCTGCACACACTTAAGCCTGATCTGTAAAATGAATGTGCACGCACAACTATGGAACAAGAGCAGGGTCCTGAAGTGGACACACAATGACAACTTTTTGCCAGAGTTTGTTACAGCTGGTATACACTACGAAGAAGAAGAAATAAGTTGTTTGAATCTTTATTTTTCTAATGGAGAAGAGGCCCACAACCAAATTATGCCAAGCCCCTTGCAGCCTTTTGGTGATTGTTTGGATCTTGCAGCCAAGGTTTTCTATAGGATGAGGTAGCCAACCTGAAGCCAACTCTCTTGAGCTGTCCCTTATCTTACCCATCAAGGGTGACAGGAAGGGTTTGTTTCCCTTGTGGGGAGAAGTCCAACTAGTCAGAAGCATCCACTGGTATGTAAACAGTCTTTGTTCTGACCTGCTTTTGGCACGACTTATAGATTTGTAGACATGAAAATATCAGGGAGATCAAACATCAGAAAACTAAGAGTTTCCATTCCATGATTAACATGAACATGTTACTGATATATTACCCTGCTGGTGTCTGGTGCTGCAATAAAACTATGAGCTGTTTCCACCTTCGAGACATCCACATGTTTCAGGGCTCAATACAAGCTCCACTAGTTTATCTTTACAGTGTGTTGCCATGACCACACCGGCATTCTGTTTACTGACCACACTGGCATTCTGTTTACAGACCACACTAGCATTTTGTTTATTGACCACACCAGCATTCTGTTTACTGACCACATTGGCATTCTGTTTACTGACCACACTGGCATTCTGTTTACTGACCACATTGGCATTCTGTTTACTGACCACATTGGCATTCTGTTTACTGACCACACCGGCATTCAGTTTACTGACCACACCAGCATTCTGTCTACTGATCACACTAGATCTCTGTCTACTGATCACACCAGATCTCTGTCTACTGATCACACTAGATCTCTGTCTACTGATCACACTAGATCTCTGTCTATTGACCACACTAGATCTCTGTCTACTGACCACACTAGATCTCTGTCTACTGACCACACTAGATCTCTGTCTACTGACCACACCAGATCTCTGTCTACTGATCACACTAGATCTCTGTCTACTGATCACACTAGATCTCTGTCTACTGATCACACCAGATCTCTGTCTACTGATCACACCAGATCTCTGTCTACTGATCACACTAGATCTCTGTCTACTGATCACACCAGATCTCTGTCTACTGATCACACAGATCTCTGTCTACTGATCTCTGTCTACTCTCACACCAGATCTACACCACACAGATCTCTGTCTACTGATCACACCAGATCTCTGTCTACTGATCACACCAGATCTCTGTCTACTGATCACACCAGATCTCTGTCTACTGATCACACCAGATCTCTGTCTACTGATCACACCAGATCTCTGTCTACTGATCACACCAGATCTCTGTCTACTGATCTCTACTGATCACACTAGATCTCTGTCTACTGATCACACTAGATCTCTGTCTACTGATCTCTGTCACACACAGATCTCTGTCTACTGATCACAGATCTCTGTCTACTGATCACAGATCTCTGTCTACTGATCACACCAGATCTCTGTCTACTGATCACACCAGATCTCTGTACTGATCACTACTGATCACACCAGATCTCTGTCTACTGATCACACCAGATCTCTGTCTACTGATCACACCAGATCTCTGTCTACTGATCACACCAGATCTCTGTCTACTGATCACACTAGATCTCTGTCTACTGATCACACCAGATCTCTGTCTACTGATCACACCAGATCTCTGTCTACTGATCACACCACAGCATCTTACCTTGGAATGTAGAATGGCCAGCGTGTCAATCCAGACCCTCCAACCTCCAAACTCAAACTTGATGGCATGGTGAAGCAGCATCTTGAACAGAGCCATCACCATGTCGGTGATTCTCTGCTGCTCCGAGTTGTGGGGGTAGATGTACGCTAGGGAGAACAGCCAGTCCTGCCACACAGACATCTGCAGCACAGTTCTGGCGGATAAAGATGACAGATATTTAAGATTAATAAAATGAAAAGAGTGTGAGTATCAAGCTATAGGTATCCAACTACAGGTATCCAACTACAGGTATCCAACTACAGGTATCCAGCCACAGGTATCCAGCCACAGGTATCCAACTATAGGTATCCAGCTATAGGTATCCAGCCACAGGTATCCAGCTATAGGTATCTAGCTATAGGTATCCAACTACAGGTATCCAACTACAGGTATCCAGCTACAGGTATCCAGCTATAGGTATCCAGCTACAGGTATCCAGCTATAGGTATCCAGCTATAGGTATCCAACTACAGGTATACAGCTACAGGTATCCAGCTACAGGTATTAAACTACAGGTATCCAGCTTACAGCTATCCAGATACACGTATCCAGCTATAGGTATCCAGCTACATTTATCCAGCTAAAGGTATCCAGCTATAGGTATCCAGCTACAGGTATCCAGCTATAGGTATCCAGCTACAGGTATCCAACTACAGGTATCCAGCTATAGGTATCCAGCTACATGTATCCAGCTATAGGTATCCAGCTACAGGTATCCAGCTACAGGTATCCAGCTACAGGTATCCAGCTATAGGTATCCAGCTACAGGTATCCAGCTACAGGTATCCAGCTACAGGTATCCAGCTACAGGTATCCAGCTACAGGTATCCAGCTACAGGTATCCAGCTACAGGTATCCAGCTACAGGTATCCAGCTACAGGTATCCAGCTACAGGTATCCAGCCAGCTATATCCAGCTACAGGTATCCAGCTACAGGTATCCAGCTACAGGTATCCAGCTACAGGTATCCAGCTACAGGTATCCAGCTACAGGTATCCAGCTACAGATATCCAGCTATAGGTATTCAGCTACAGGTATCCAGCTATAGGTATCCAGCTACAGGTATCCAGCTATAGGTATCCAGCTACAGGTATCCAGCTATAGGTATCCAGCTATAGGTATCCAGCTACAGGTATCCAGCTACAGGTATCCAGCTATAGGTATCCAGCTATAGGTATCCAGGTATCCAGCTACAAAGGTATCCAGCTACAGTTTATATCCAGCTACAGATTTAAAAAAAAAAAAAAGTTTAAAACATTACAGCAGCTGGTTGGATTCATGGACAAAAAGCTACAGGATCCAGAGGGGAGATACTGGGGTATTTGCTACAGATATCCAGCTATAGGTATTTAGCTACAGGTATCCAGCTATATGTATCCAGCTACAGGTATTCAGCTACATTTATTTAGCCATTGGTATCCAGCTATAGGTATCCAGCTACAGGTATCCGGCTATAGGTATCCAGCTACAGGTATCCAGCTACATTCATCCTACTATAGGTATCCAGCTATAGGTAGCCAGCTACAGGTATCCAGCTACATTCATCCTACTATAGGTAGCCAGCTACATTTATGCAGCTACAGGTATCCAGCTACAGGTATCCAGCTACAGGTATTCAGCTACAGGTATCCAGCTACAGGTATCCAGCTACATTTATCCAGCTATAGGTATCCAGCTATAGGTATCCTGCTATAGGTATCCAGCTACATGTATCCAGCTATAGGTATCCTGCTATAGGTATCCAGCTACAGGTATCCAGCTATAGGTATTCAGCTATAGGTATCCAGCTATAGGTATCCAGCTACAGGTATTAAGACTATTCAGGTATTCAGTATATTTGTAGACTGACTGATGCCTGCCTTGAAACTGGCACAAAGTCTGCCAACATTCAAAAAAGTTTAAAACAGCAGCTGGTTGGATTCATGGACAAAAATACAGGACAGCGGAGAGGGGAGATACTGGGGATAGTTTGACATGAGATTACCTGTGGTTATCCTTGTTGTTGCAGAGAGGGGAGATACTGGGGATAGTTTGACATGAGATTACCTGCGGTTATCCTTGTTGTTATTACAGAGAATGGTCAGATCTGAGAGGAATGTTTTCTTGACCTCCAAAACCTCGGCAGTGGGCTTTGACTGGCGGATCATTGTAGCTACCACTTTCAGGATGGCTGAAACATAGGCACACATACAATCATGAAAGCTTTCAAGACCGCCATCTACAGTAGAGAACTACAGTGATACGAGGTAGGCTAACCTGGTGAATAATAATGGCAAGAATGTTCTCGCTGTGTCTTCCTCTACCTCACTTTCCATAAATCTTTCCAGCTGTCACAAGATGTTCCAGTTTTTGCATTCTCATGTGGCACACAGATGATGCACATCTCTTGCTGGCGTCTGTGATGTCTCCCTCATGGGTTCATATCTTTCAGAATCTCTAGTTCCTGTATATGTGTTTGCATGTGTGATGTCTGTGATGTCTCCCTCATACCTTTAAGAATCTCTAGTTCCTGTATATGTGTTTGCATGTGTGATGTCTGTGATGTCTCCCTCATGTCTTTCAGAATCTCTAGTTGCTGTATATGTGTTTACATGTGTGATGTCTGTGATGTCTCCCTCATACCTTTCAGAATCTCTAGTTCCTGTATATGTGTTTACATGTGTGATGTCTGTGATGTCTCCCTCATACCTTTCAGAATCTCTAGTTCCTGTATATGTGTTTGCATGTGTGATGTCTCCCTCATGTCTTTCAGAATCTCTAGTTCCTGTATATGTGTTTGCATGTGTGATGTCTGTGATGTCTCCCTCATACCTTTCAGAATCTCTAGTTCCTGTATATGTGTTTGCATGTGTGATGTCTCCCTCATGTCTTTCAGAATCTCTAGTTCCTGTATATGTGTTTGCATGTGTGATGTCTCCCTCATGTCTTTCAGAATCTCTAGTTCCTGTATATGTGTTTACATGTGTGATGTCTGTGATGTCTCCCTCATGTCTTTCAGAATCTCTAGTTCCTGTATATGTGTTTACATGTGTGATGTCTCCCTCATGTCTTTCAGAATCTCTAGTTCCTGTATATGTGTTTACATGTGTGATGTCTCCCTCATACCTTTCAGAATCTCTAGTTCCTGTATATGTGTTTACATGTGTGTGTGTGTATGTGCATATGTGTGTGAGTGTGTATATATACAAGATATGTTGGCAGGGTAGAGAGTGATCCAGGTAGAGATTGACTGATGTGGAGCTGCAGGTAACCCCAGCCTCAGCTGAGGCAGCAGGAAATGTTCTGGGCAGCCAATACTGACCCCATCACCCACCAAGCGTCATTTGGTCTATAAACATAAAGGACTGGCACCATATGCCCTGTATGTTTAAAGGCATGGAAACAGGTCCTTGACCGAGCTAACTTACATATGACTATTTAGCAGCAAGATATATCAATACTTCTGACAACAAACTCCCAAAATAATTAGTTTCCATTGAGTGTTGACATAGCTGATGCAGCCATTGTAGTGTCAGTGACAGGACTTCACATATCTTAGGCTATGACATATGAGATGGGTGGGGGAGGGGGGTGGGGGAGAACCTCTCAGAGAACATTCTCCACACATAATTACAAATGTCTGATGCCCAATTGTATGAGCCCAGGTTGACTCCAGAGATGGACAGTCAGACATATAATCTGCTAGTGGCTGAACCTTGACCACAGTTATGGCAAGCAAGGCCACTAACCACTATGCCCCAGCAGTTTCTGATGATGAAAGTGCCAAAAACAACTGTTGCAAGTCCTAGTCAGACAGAAGCTCACCTGAGTTCTCGATGCGGAAATGTGACTCTGGCTCTTCACGTTTCACCCGGGCATTCTCTAGACTCATCCTTTCTGTCAGAATCTGCAAACAGGAAACAAGAAGTAGTACTGGCAACAGAAACAAGAAGTTGTACAGGCAACAGAAACAAGAAGTAGTACTGGCAACAGAAACAAGAAGTTGTACTGGCAACAGAAACAAGAAGTTGTACTGGCAACAGAAACAAGAAGTTGTACTGGCAACAGAAAGAAGGAGATTACGATACACAATACAGTACCACAGGTAGAAGAAAAAGTGTATTTTACTATTAACAAAACTGGCATGCAAGATTCATACAATGACAAAATGCTCCCCCGAAGGTGTGCCCACTTTGTCGCAGTGGGAAAGCTGGTGTTTTTCAACAACCCTGAGAGCTATGTCAGCGGCAGCGTAGCTACCAGCAGGGCATCCCAAGCCGGAAAGGTCAAAAGGTAGAGAACAGACAGACGAGACACCCTGGTCCTCCAAGTTGGGGACTGAAGCATGGGGCCATTAACCCCCTTTATTTTGTCCTGATAATGTTCAGACAGACCTACAAACACTTGGTGTCACCAACTGGAAAGAGAAGGATAACCAGAGAGATGATTGTAGCCGGGTGATATCTGCAGTAATGAACCTCTTCGGCTCATCGAATGCTGAAGAAAAGAAGAATGACAAAATGGATACATACTGTGAGAACTTAGATATATTTGAACATGTAAGAAACACAACAATACATCTAAGTCACAACATGACACTTTTTGTATGATATAAAATGCAATTCAAAATATACAACATGACATGTATAATGTAGACACAATGATATGATGTGGAGAAGGCGTTATCTCCAGTGACAATATTGTTTACCAAGTAATGGCTAGAGACAATGAAGAAAAGATCAAGGATGGAGGAGCAAGATAAGGGGAAGGAGGAAACAGAAGATGTCAGAAATGGCAGCAAGGTCACCAACCTCAAAGAGAACATTGTAGCAGGGCATGGTGATGTTCTGGGTGTGTAGCATGAGCCGCTCCGCCAGCAGACTGAACAGGTTGTAAGGGGACATGGCATCTTGCTTTCTCCTGCAGGCAAATGTCACAGAAACACATCACAAAACTGTCACTGCAAATACAATCTTTGTATATATTACAGGAGACTGAACAGGTTGTAAGGGGACATGGCATCTTGCTTTCTCCTGCAGGCAAATGTCACAGAAACACATCACAAAACTGTCACTGCAAATACAATCTTTGTATATATTACAGGAGACTGAACAGGTTGTAAGGGGACATGGCATCTTGCTTTCTCCTGCAGGCAAATGTCACAGAAACACGTCACACATCACAAAACTGTCACTGCAAATACAATCTTTGTATATATTACAGGAGACTGAACAGGTTGTAAGGGGACATGGCATCTTGCTTTCTCCTGCAGGCAAATGTCACAGAAACACGTCACACATCACAAAACTGTCACTGCAAATACAATCTTTGTATATATTACAGGAGACTGAACAGGTTGTAAGGGGACATGGCATCTTGCTTTCTCCTGCAGGCAAATGTCACAGAAACACGTCACACATCACAAAACTGTCACTGCAAATACAATCTTTGTATATATTACAGGAGACTGAACAGGTTGTAAGGGGACATGGCATCTTGCTTTCTCCTGCAGGCAAATGTCACAGAAACACGTCACACATCACAAAACTGTCACTGCAAATACAATCTTTGTATATATTACAGGAGACTGAACAGGTTGTAAGGGGACATGGCATCTTGCTTTCTCCTGCAGGCAAATGTCACAGAAACACATCACAAAACTGTCACTGCAAATACAATCTTTGTATATATTACAGGAGACTGAACAGGTTGTAAGGGGACATGGCATCTTGCTTTCTCCTGCAGGCAAATGTCACAGAAACACATCACAAAACTGTCACTGCAAATACAATCTTTGTAAATATTACAGGAGACTAGACAGGTTGTAAGGGGACATGGCGTCTTGCTTTCTCCTGCAGGCAAATGTCACAGAAACACGTCACACATCACAAAACTGTCACTGCAAATACAATCTTTGTATATATTACAGGAGACTGAACAGGTTGTAAGGGGACATGGCATCTTGCTTTCTCCTGCAGGCAAATGTCACAGAAACACATCACAAAACTGTCACTGCAAATACAATCTTTGTATATATTACAGGAGACTGAACAGGTTGTAAGGGGACATGGCATCTTGCTTTCTCCTGCAGGCAAATGTCACAGAAACACATCACAAAACTGTCACTGCAAATACAATCTTTGCATATATTACAGGAGACTGAACAGGTTGTAAGGGGACATGGCGTCTTGCTTTCTCCTGCAGGCAAATGTCACAGAAACACGTCAAACATCACAAAACTGTCACTGCAAATATAATCTTTGTATTTTTACAGGTCATCTGAAGCCAGGTCAGCAGAATTATCTCCGGGAGGCGAGTCCAGAACAGTTTTCTGTGTTTCTGCTGAAGTGAGAAAATAAAGATGAGGAAGGGAACTAGTTTCTCTGCTGACTCAAGTGGGGGTATACAGGTCTGATATCAGGTGCCAATAGCTAGGAAGGGAACTAATTTCTCTGCTGACTCGTGGGGGTATACAGGTCAGATATCAGAGGCCAATAACTAGGAAGGGAACTAGTTTCTCTGCTGACTCAAGTGGGGGGTATACAGGACAAATATCAGGTGCCAATAACTAGGAAAAGAACTAGTTGCTCTACTGACTCAAGTGGGGGGGGGGGGGGGGGGGGATATACAGGTCAGATATCAGATAACTGCAACATGTAAATGCTCTAAACTATTATAGACTTTAATCAAAGAAAAGTAATCAGACAAATTCAACAATACTGTTTTATTACCGAATCAATGGGGAAAAAAAAAAATGCTAAATCAAGTTAATAATTTTTTATTGGTACAGGATGAGAAAAGGGGAGGGAGAGGCAATGGTACCATGAGATGAAAGATATTTCAGTCAGACTGACCACACAATAGGTCCAGCACTAAAAACTGCATGACTTTGAAATGCCATATTTGTTGTGAGCAAGTCCACAAAAGCTGCCTACATAACCTGAACCAAGATCAACTCAGCTTGATGAGCTGTAGACATCTACAAGTGTTCAGTGCAACTACTGCATACAGACCAGGCTATACAAAGCATCTAGTATACACAGGTATAAGATCAAGCCAGAGTTAATGTCCATCAACTACTGTAGGCACTTTCCTTTCCCTTGCCGCGTTGTCCGTTAACATAACAAATGCACCGCTGCCTTTCTAAACCATTCTTTCTATTTTTTCCTGTCTGAATCCTTTGAGGCAAGATGGTTGAACCACCTGAAAGTTTGCCACAACAATAATAGGTATGTAGAAGAAAAGAAAATGCACTTGATAAAAACACAACATAATTTCTGAACCCAAGCTCCCTTTTCTCATGTGATACACTGCTTCCTGGCCCACGTACATCCGGCTATCCAGGGACACAAACAGCAGCGCTGCAACAAACCTGTATGTGCTCCGCATGAGGAAGAAGCCCAACAGTCTCAGCGACAGCAGCCGTATGTCCTCATTCTGGGAAGCCAGCAGCTTGAAGATTGTCCTGATCAGAGAAGAGTCAAACAGCAAGATCTGTAATTACTTTAGCATTAGGAGAAAACAGAGAACAGCCAAAGTGTAACATTTGTCATTACTTTAGCATTAGGAGAAAACAGAGAACAGCCAAAGTGTAACATTTGTTATTACTTTAGCATTAGGAGAAAACATAGAACAGCCAAAGTGTAACATTTGTCATTACTTAAGCATTAGGAGAAAACAGAGAACAGCCAAAGTGTAACATTTGTCATTACTTTACCATTAGGAGAAAACATAGAACAGCCAAAGTGTAACATTTGTCATTACTTAAGCATTAGGAGAAAACAGAGAACAGCCAAAGTGTAACATCTGTCATTACTTTAGCATTAGGAGAAAACATAGAACAGCCAAAGTGTAACATTTGTCATTACTTTAGCATTAGGAGAAAACAGAGAGCAGGCCAAAGTGTAACATTTGTCATTACTTTACCATTAGGAGAAAACAGAGAGCAGGCCAAAGTGTAACATTTGTCATTACTTTAGCATTAGGAGAAAACAGAGAGTAGGCCAAAGTGTAACATTTGTCATTACTTTAGCATTAGGAGAAAACAGAGAGCAGGCCAAAGTGTAACATTTGTCATTACTTAAGCATTAGGAGAAAACATAGAACAGCCAAAGTGTAACATTTGTTATTACTTTAGCATTAGGAGAAAACAGAGAACAGCCAAAGTGTAACATTTGTCATTACTTTAGCATTAGGAGAAAACAGATAACAGCCAAAGTGTAACATTTGTCATTACTTTAGCATTAGGAGAAAACAGAGAACAGCCAAAGTGTAACATTTGTCATTACTTAAGCATTAGGAGAAAACAGAGAACAGCCAAAGTGTAACATTTGTCATTACTTTAGCATTAGGAGAAAACAGAGAACAACCAAAGTGTAACATCTGTCATTACTTTAGCATTAGGAGAAAACAGAGAACAGCCAAAGTGTAACATCTGTCATTACTTAAGCATTAGGAGAAAACAGAGAACAGCCAAAGTGTAACATCTGTCATTACTTTACCATTAGGAGAAAACATAGAACAGCCAAAGTGTAACATCTGTCATTACTTAAGCATTAGGAGAAAACAGAGAACAGCCAAAGTGTAACCAGAGAACAGCCAAAGTGTAACCAGAGAACAGCCAAAGTGTAACAACTGTCATTACCTTGGCATTAGGAGAAAACAGAGAACAGCCAAAATAACATCTGTCATTACTGTCATAACTTTGGCAGTCAGAGGAAGCAGCAGAACACATCCATTAACTTGTGTTTTAACATTCTCCATCAACAAATGGTTTAATAAATAATACTGTATAACTGATGGACAGACAATGGCAGCGAAGTGTGCTGTGTTCTTGAAGAATGTGTAAAATGAGTTACACAAACAATTCTGGTAGTTCCATCAATCTATCCCTGGTGGATCTCTGTAATCATCTCCTCTTCATGACTGGCCTACTTAGAACTTCTCTTGTGTGACTTGGAACTTTTCACGTGTGACTTGGAACTTCTCACATGTGAGTTACAACTTTTTGCGTGTGACTTACAACTTCTCATGTGTGACTTGGAACTTTTCACATGTAACTTACAACTTCTGATCATGTCAAGTATATGTATCTGATCAGGTCAAGTATATGTTTCTGATCAGGTCAAGTATATGTTTCTGATCAGGTCAAGTATATGTTTCTCATCATGTCAGGTATATGCTTCTGATCAGGTCAAGTATATGTTTCTGATCAGGTCAAGTATATGTTCTGATCATGTCAAGTATATGTTTCTGATAAGGTAAGTATATGTTCTGATCTACTAGAGCAGAGTAAACCTGGCTTTACTTCTTCTTCTTTTCATTTGTCTGAGTGAGGTAATTGTGTTGTGCTTGTATAAAGCAAAATTGCAATATTTGTGCCTTTTGGCTGACACATCCCACTTCATAGTGCATTTGCTGACCGTGTTAACTTACTGGAAGCCTGGGCTTTATATTTCTGATACGCTGTTACATCACATGGCTACAGACCTGACTCCATTTTTCTGGTCAAAGGCAGGAACCATAGAAGCTGGATGCTCAGCCATTAGATGGACCAGCAGCTCTAGGACATCCATCAGGTTGTCATCCTTGGGGGGGGAGAACAAGAAAATTTCCATGTAATCATCGACAATTGCACTAGTGGTGTCCCCACAGGTAATTATGATGTATTTAAGCAAAGACAACAAACAACCAATCACACAAGCCACTGCCAGACATATTCCACTATATCTTGTCAGGTGCTATCTACAGAAATAAACCACATAAGGCCAACAAGTAAATTATTTGTACTGAAATGCAACCTGACACCAAGCTCAAATGCAACCTGACACCAAGCTCAAATGCAACCTGACACCAAGCTCAAATGCAACCTGACACCAAGCTCAAATGTAACCTGACACCAAGCTCAAATGTAACCTGACACCAAGCTCAAATGTAACCTGACACCAAGCTCAAATGTAACCTGACACCAAGCTCAAATGTAACCTGACACCAAGCTCAAATGTAACCTGACACCAAGCTCAAATGCAACCTGACACCAAGCTCAAATGTAACCTGACACCAAGCTCAAATGTAACCTGACACCAAGCTCAAATGTAACCTGACACCAAGCTCAAATGTAACCCTCTTTGTTACCAGAGTTATAGCAAGTCTACAACAATGTTTGTGGTGAGTGTGTCTGATTGATTTCTGTAGTATTTTGATGGAAGGCAATCAGCTGTGTCATCTACTGATGTGCCATCTAGCGATGTGCTATCTAGTGATGTGTCATCTACTGATGTGCCATCTACTGATGTGTCATCTACTGATGTGCCATCTACTGATGTGTCATCTACTGATGTGCCATCTAGTGATATGTCATCTACTGATGTGTCATCTTCTGATGTACCATCTACTAATGTGCCATCTACTGATGTGTCATCTACTGATGTGCCATCTACTGATTTGCCATCTAGTGATGTGCCATCTAGTGATGTGCCATCTACTGATGTGCCATCTAGTGATGTTTCATCTAGTGATGCGCCATCTACTGATGTGTCATTTACTGATGTGTCATTTACTGATGTGTCTTCTTTGCTTTTTTATTTCATCCCACAAACTTACACAAACCAGACGTAATACATCTCTTTTTAAAGTCATCATCTGCCGTCTCCAACATGTTTTAAATGTTGCTTTCTGATTTATGTCCAAGTGTGTTGTATTCCACTGTTATTGCCCACATATAACAGACCAGACCTTCATCTTCTTCTCTTGTCGCCTCTTGTTGGCTCCAGGCTGTAGCCCTCTGTCGTCTCACTGATGCCAGGTTTTAGCCTACTGTCGTCTCACTGATACCAGGTTGTAGCCCAGTGTCATCTCAATGATACCAGGTTATAACCCAGTGTCGTCTCATTGATACCAGGTTGTAGCGAAGTGTCATCTTACTGATACCAGGTTGTAGCGAAGTGTCATCTCACTGATACCAGGTTGTAGCCCAGTGTCACCTCACTGATACCAGGCTGTAGCCCAGTGTCATCTCACTAATACCAGGTTGAAGCCCTGTATCATCTCACTGATACCAGGTTGTAGCGAAGTGTCATCTTACTGATACCAGGTTGTAGCCCAGTGTCGTAGTTTTCTGTATTTGTCTTGCACTACTTTGGTGGCTTGCTTGATGGATTAACACTGCCAGAAATCCTCTATTATTTCCTGTGTAGAATTGGTTGAATACACCACTGCTGGCTTACTAGACCTGTCCCGTAAGACAAACTAACCTGGATGGTACCCGTCTCCTCCCAAGCCAGTCACTGCCCCGTTAGCCTGAAACTTCATGGCTTCAGTTTTCCAGCATGAACTATGAGGAGGTGGTCTTCATGGCTTCAGTTTTCCAGCATGAACTATGAGGAGGTGGTCTTCATGGCTTCAGTTTTCCAGCATGAACTATGAGGAGGTGGTCTTCATGGCTTCAGTTTTCCAGCATGAACTATGAGGAGGTGTCTTCATGGCTTCAGTTTTTCCAGCATGGAACTATGAGGAGGTGGTCTTCATGGCTTCAGTTTTCCAGCATGAACTATGAGGAGGTGGTCTTCATGGCTTCAGTTTTCCAGCATGAACTATGAGGAGGTGGGGAGGTGGTCTTCATGGCTTCAGTTTTCCAGCATGAACTATGAGGAGGTGGTCTTCATGGCTTCAGTTTTCCAGCATGAACTATGAGGAGGTGGTCTTCATGGCTTCAGTTTTCCAGCATGAACTATGAGGAGATGGTGATGACTTGGGTACTCATACGGTTGTTGGGCAGTATTGTGTGCTGAACTCAGTTTTCTGTTCAAGTGTACCAGAGGTTAGAGGGGGGATAGCCGACGCTAGCCGTAAAGGCGCTTGATGATGATGATGCAGAGATGACTAAAAAAGGTCCACGCTACCTGACGCGTAAGACAAAGGTTTCTTGAGATAAATGGGAAACATGGGTGTCCATGGTTATTGCGACTCAAGTGTGACCAGCTGTTGAACCTGAACCCGTGTCCAGGTCAGTTGCTTTCAGTTTGTCTGACTGTACGGACTGTGTTTTAACAATGTTTCATTCTGTGGAATTCCTGCAAACCATCTGGGATGACTGTGGTGTATTGTGAGTCAGACTTCTGGGGATTTCTGTCAGTGATTGTCTGGAACGGACTTGTGTTGGCCATGTGTTGTGGGGTTGACAGTGTTGTGACACATGGCTGACAGGTTTCTGTAAGGGCCGGAAGGTGCCGGGGGACCCTTTGTGTTAACCAGCATGTAGTTGTGGTGGGTGGAAGTACCGGAGACTGATTGACGGGATGTTAGAGATACTTTAGTGAGTGGCTGGGATAGCAGACAGGAGGTCTGTAGTCTTCACCAAGAGGTGCATCTATCTTGAATCAAATCTGGTGGCAGGGTCATTTAGAAAACGAACCATCAAGGGATTGTCACTGCACATCATACAGGTGTATCTGTACTGTCAGGTGTGAGCTTTCTGGCGCAGGCTCCTTGGGGTGTTTCGTCCATGTCTAGAGAGACTGCTGATGTGAATATTTGGGAAGGCAGTGAAAGACTTGATGATGTGTTATTGATCACCATTTCATCTTTATTATAATGTTTCCTCCATAATAAAGACTGAGGCACTATGAAAGATAATACTTTGCGTGGTGTATTATGTTCCAGTACTTGTAGATAATGTTAATGTTTACTTTAGGATGTGTTAGCTTGTTGTGTTGATTATAGTACTGCCTTGTTTGGGTTGGCCCTCCATTATGCCAGTTATAATCTTTATCAGCATGAGCCATCCCAAGATTGGTGGATAGAGAGAATCCAGTGTGTAGGTGAGAGGACTGACACTGATAGACACTTATATAACAACAAATCCTCTAGTCCACTTGACAAGTGTGCGGTACACCTCCCACCCCACCCCACCCCCCGATCGCAGGCATCTGCCAGGCTAGTTTATTCCGTTTTTTTATGTCTCCGAAAAACAGCTAGCTAGCCTTGGCCGAAGTGCCATGCACCTGAGACCACCTTTACAGAGCAGTCATAATCATCAAAGCTGTGCTGATCTACATTTAAACAAAGAGAGAGAGAGAGAGGGAGAGAGGGGGAGAGAGAGAGAGAGAGAGAGAGAGAGAGAGAGACAGAGAGACAGAGAGACAGAGAGAGACAGAGAGAGAATGCTAACCTCGTGCAGGGTAGTCAAGTAGTTGAGCATTGACTGCAGCTCATCCTCCAGGATCCCATGTCCCTTGAGAATCAGCTCTTTGACATACAACAGCATGAAAGACCTCAGCTTCACTATCTCCTCTTGGCTGGGACGAGGCCCGTCTGAAAGTGTTTTTTAAATAGAATTAACTTCTGACTTGATAAAGGATCTGCACGTAGTTGGCTAAAATGGGACTAATTCAAAAGCAGTGAAGATATATGTGCCACCACCCAGGGGTGCAGGGACCATCAACAGGGAAACATTGGTACACAGCTATACTGGACATATCCTGAAAAGAAACCAGCAGGGCAGGCACTGAAATGAGTTGAGTTTAGTTGAGTCAAGAACTGACATCATAGCACTTGAGGCATTCCCATAAGTGCTCCATGCACATCTTCAGCAGCCAGTACAGAGTTCCAGAACCAAAAGTAGCAGAAGCAGTCTGATTATAAGTCTTCCTGCCTTTCTTCTGAGCGTAGAACATTGGCCAGATCCCTTCATCATTCCTCATTGCACCACTCTCACCAGACTGTGATGTTCTGCCGGCACTCTCATCTACTCCTCTCCTTGCCAAATGGGCTTAAATGGGAAACAGAGGGATTGAGGAGGTGAGGACGCCTAAAAGACACTCTAAAAACAAACGTTGATGAGAGAGGTGATGGACTGAATTCCATCCCTGACACTGAACTAACTGCACATGACAGAACAGAATAGAGGGATAGACTGGGAGCCCTATGTGACACATGATGACACAAGAGGACAAGGAGTGAATGAATGTAGTCAGCTGCACATTGATACAACTGATTAATGTCACTAAGCTCACAGTAACAGAACAAGCAGACATTTGCTGCACTGGGGTCTAACAGATGCAGAACAGAGCAAAACACGTTCAACTTTCACCAGTCCTTGACCTAGGCTGCAAGGTCAACCCAGTCTAAAACAGAACCAGGAAATGTCCTGAAAAGTATAGGCAGCCACGTGATCTTGACCTGATTACTCAACGGGTGATGACTGGCCTTTAGACATATGCGACTATCATAACCATATGCCTGATGAAGCAGTGGTGTGACAAGGGTCCGTGATTTCACCAGGTCCATGACACCAGTAACAATAGTCTGTGACAACACCAGGTCTGTGACTACTAGACCAGTCCCATTCCAGGACAAACTTGATGCAGATGCCAATAACCTCCACTGACTTATTTCTTCAACTGTCCTTGTTCAGAATGTTCCAGTCACTGGGGAAAGGAAAAGTGGTGAGGAAGGGAAAGGGACGTCACACCTTATATGTCACCTGGGTACAATATGTGAAGAGCTGACACGTCACACCCTAAAGTGTTATATCTGTTAAAGGACACTTCACATCCTAAAGTGTTAATCTGTTGAAGGACACTTCACATCCTAAAGTGGTAAATCTGTTAAAGGACACTTCACATCCTAAAGTGGTAAATCTGTTAAAGGACACTTCACATCCTAAAGTGGTAAATCTGTTAAAGGACACTTCACATCCTAAAGTGGTAAATCAGTTAAAGGACACTTCACATCCTAAAGTGGTAAATCTGCTAAAGGACACTTCACATCCTAAAGTGTTATATCTGTTAAAGGACACTTCACATCCTAAAGTGGTATATCTGTTAAAGGACACTTCACATCCTAAAGTGTTATATCTGTTAAAGGACACCTCACATCCTAAAGTGGTATATCTGTTAAAGGACACCTCACATCCTAAAGTGGTATATCTGTTAAAGGACACCTCACATCCTAAAGTGGTATATCTGTTAAAGGACACCTCACATCCTAAAGTGGTATATCTGTTAAAGGACACTTCACATCCTAAAGTGGTAAAGTGGACACTTCACATCCTAAAGTGGTAAATCTGTTAAAGGACACTTCACATCCTAAAGTGGTAAATCTGTTAAAGGACACCTCACATCCTAAAGTGGTATATCTGTTAAAGGACACCTCACATCCTAAAGTGGTATATCTGTTAAAGGACACTTCACATCCTAAAGTGGCATATCTGTTAAAGGACTAGCATGACGTATCAGATGTGAAATGCCTTAGCCACATGTTGCTTTGATTGGGTAAAACTAAACATCAACAAGACAAACTGACCAGTAGCCTTTGGCTGAACCCCGCTGCGGTCAAGTGGGTTGACTACCCAGTAGTAGTACTTGAGAGAATGCATAGTTTGCAGCACAGCACTGACTCGCCGGATACTGTTGTAGATGTGTGCATTGCTGATGAACTCAGTAGCCAGGTAACTGTAGAGTTTGGTTTGAACCTAGCACAGACGAAACATTGGTAAGGCAATACTGGCAACATAAAAACAGAGAGATTAATTCTATTAAAAGCAGCTGATCAACTATTCATTTGCATATAATAAAAAATTACAGAGGTCAGATCAAGTATCTAAATTTGACCCTCTTGGCCCCATAACTACCATCATTGATAGCATTCGGAGTAACACACCAAATTCCACTTCCACAGTTCAAACACTCCAAGGAAATAAAATGACACAAATTGTTATGAACAAAAGTCACTCACGTCCACACATGTCTGCTCTATCTAACTCACCGAGAGCCACTGACTTTTACACAGATTCACCTCCAGTGGCCGGTCACCCTTGTGTCTCACAAAACCCGTGTAGGCCACCATTAGCTGTGAATCTTGAGAAACACATGTCTCACAACACCCGTGTAGGCCATTGTTAACTGTGAATCTTGAGAAACACATGTCTCACAACACCCGTGAAGGCCATTGATAGCTGTGAAACTTGAGAAACACATGTCTCACAACACCCGTGTAGGCCACCATTAGATGTGAATCTTAAGAAACACATTTCTCACAACACCCGTGAAGGCCATTGTTAGCTGTGAATCTTGAGAAACACATGTCTCACAATACCCGTGTAGGCCACCATTAGATGTGAATCTTGAGAAACACATTTCTCACAACAAGGCCATTGTTAGCTGTGAATCTTGAGAAACACATGTCTCACAACACCCGTGTAGGCCACTATTAGATGTGAATCTTGAGAAACACATTTCTCACAACAAGGCCATTGTTAGCTGTGAATCTTGAGAAACACGTTTCATAATACCCGTATAGGCCACCATTAGATGTGAATCTTGAGAAACACATTTCTCACAACAAGGCCATTGTTAGCTGTGAATCTTGAGAAACACGTTTCATAATACCCGAGTAGGCCACCATTAGATGTGAATCTTGAGAAACACATTTCTCACAAGGCCATTGTTAGCTGTGAATCTTGAGAAACACATGTCTCACAACACCCATAAAGGCCACTATTAGCTGTGAATTTTAAGAAACACATGTCTCACAACACCCATAAAGGCCATTGTTAGCTGTGAATCTTGAGAAACACATGTCTCACAACACCCATAAAGGCCACTATTAGCTGTGAATTTTAAGAAACACATGTCTCACAACACCCATAAAGGCCATTGTTAGCTGTGAATCTTGAGAAACACATATCTCACAACACCCATAAAGGCCACTATTAGCTGTGAATCTTGAGAAACACATGTCTCACAACACCCATAAAGGCCATTGTTAGCTGTGAATCTTGAGAGACACGTTTCACAAACTTCACGTAGCCTGGACCTTTTGCACTTGCCTTTGTCATCATGGTCTTGACAACTGGTGTGGCTGATGATGCCTCTGAGAAACTTCCCTACTGCAGTCAGTGCTGCACACAACAGTGCTGCCAAGTCAGACTGCACTCTTTACAGAGTAGTGGTTACCTGCAGACTCCTCTCACTCTGTAAGGGCTGCCAGAGACCCCATACTTCTGTTTAGTCCTACTAAAGAACTTGAGTGTGGTGGGAGACTGTAAATAACTGTCTACGGTGCCCCAGGGGTGCAGAGACCATCAACAGGGAAACACGGGTACAGTAGTTCAGGACACATTTATAGGCACACTCTGACAACATTACGTGCCAAGGCAAATGCATTAAAACTGGAATATTACAACAACAAACTGCTAAATGACGACAACCTGCTTGACGGTGTATTCACCACCGATCTGATAAAGGAGAAGAAGGAGGCAGAGACTCGGGAGGCAGAAAGACAGGAAACACAGGAAGAAGAGAAGAAATGGGGGGGAGCTGACAAAGAGAAGGACAAAAGTACCTAAATCTAACCCTGCACTCACCTCCACTGATGTATGCACCCACAGCTGGGGGTTGAACAGGATGTTGTCAAAGAGATACTTTAGTAGCAGGGAGCCGCTGGGCAGCTCCACCAAGAACTCGGTCAGTGAGAGGAAGGCTTCCAGCACATCCAGTGTGATGTGTTCCCTGGACGACTGTGTTCCAAACAAAACAGACAAATGAACACATTGTGTAGCTTATGTATTTCACATCCAGTGTGATGTGTTCCCTGGACGACTGTGCTCCAAACAAAACAGACAAATGAACACATTGTGTAGCTGATATATTTCACATCCAGTGTGATGTGTTCCCTGGATGACTGTGCTCCAAACAAAACAGACAAATGAACACACTGTGTAGCTGATATATTTCACATCCAGTGTGATGTGTTCCCTGGACGACTGTGTTCCAAACAAAACAGACAAATGAACACATTGTGTAGCTGATATATTTCACATCCAGTGTGATGTGTTCCCTGGATGACTGTGCTCCAAACAAAACAGACAAATGAACACACTGTGTAGCTGATATATTTCACATCCAGTGTGATGTGTTCCCTGGATGACTGTGCTGATATATTTCACTGTGTTCCCTGGATGACTGTGTTCCAAACAAAACAGACAAATGAACACATTGTGTAGCTGATGTATTTCACATCCAGTGTGATGTGTTCCCTGGACGACTGTGTTCCAAACAAAACAGACAAATGAACACACTGTGTAGCTGATATATTTCACATCCAGTGTGATGTGTTCCATGGACGACTGTGTTCCAAACAAAACAGACAAATGAACACATTGTGTAGCTGATAGATTTCACATCCAGAAATGAATGACTGAGTAGATGTGATTGTATCAGCATTGCGAGTCTGATGTGACCTCTTCTTATTACGGTCCACATGGTGTGCTATTTATCATCATGTAGAGCTTACAGCCTTACGTCTTGTGTACTATCATATCATTGGATATGGTCTTCTGATATGGAATAACGAGTAGTGCTGGACCCCATTCCATTCTTCCCTGTGTGGATTCTGGGACCCCATTATGAGGAAAACAAGAAGAGACCCACTGCCTACCCGAAAGAATTTCATAAAAGTAGACTAATTAAGGACTAACTAAGGAACAATATGATGCCCTAAACATCGGTGGTCATGAAATACCAGAAATTCGTTATGCTGATGATACAGTATTACTATCAACATCAGAAAATGGTTTAGAAAACTTATTAACCTCACTCCAAAGAAATAGTGAAAATCATAACTTATTTCTTAACACAGCAAAAACAAAGATAATGCATACAAACAAAACTGCCATGGAGAAGGAAATATATGTTAATGAGGAAAGATTGGAAGTGGTGGACAATTTCGAATATCTTGGGTCACTGGTTACCAACAATGGTGACACAATGAAAGAAATCAAACGGCGACTATCAATTGCTCTTCAAAGACTAAAACAACTGAATAAATTATGGAATTGTACAGATAGAATTACAAAGGTCAGATTTTTAAGAGCATGCATCTTTCCCATTGCAACATACGCCTGTGAGACCTGGACACTTACTAAACAAGCGGAACAGCGCATAAATGCATTTGAATATAAATGTTACAGACAGGTTCTAAGAATATCTTGGGTAAAGAAAAGAACAAATGCATCCATACTTCAAGAGCTGAATATTGAAGAGGGTTGGCTAGTAAAGACAATAAAACAAAGAAAATTGAAATATTTTGGTCACTTGAAACGTCATGGAGGTCTAGAGAGAACAATAATGGAGGGGTATATGCCTGGGAAGAGAGGAAGAGGAAGGCCAAGGAGAAGATGGGTGCAGGATGTGGCAGATGATCTCCAGATGGGTGTATCAGACGCAGGACATCTTGCTCATGATAGGAAGGTTTTCCGGAGGGTTGTTATGGCAGCGAGGTTCCGCGAGGGACATGCTACTGAATGAATGAATGAAGACTAATTAGGAGCTTCCTTCGAAGTTGGAGTGCATTCTCCCGAGAGGAGAGGAACCAACATTCGGCATACAAATAGTTAGAACTGTAAAACAGATGGGTATGCAACACTCAGGTTCTGGAACACAGCTAGAGTCTAGATGAACAACCAGAACTGTAAAACAGATGGGTATGCAACACTTAGGTTCTGGAACACAGCTAGAGTCTAGATGAACAACCAGAACTGTAAAACAGAAGGGTATGCAACACTCAGGTTCTGGTACACAGCTAGAGTCTAGATGAACAACCAGAACTGTAAAACAGATGGGTATGCAACACTCAGGTTCTGGTACACAGCTAGAGTCCGGATGAACAACCAGAACTGTAAAACAGATGGTATGCAACACTCAGGTTCTGGTACACAGCAAGTCCAGATGAACAACCGAAGGTTCTGTATGCACACACTCAGGTTCTGGACACAGCTAGAGTCTAGATGAACAACCAGAACTGTAAAACAGAAGGGTATGCAACACTCAGGTTCTGGTACACAGCTAGAGTCCAGATGAACAACCAGAACTGTAAAACAGATGGGTATGCAACACTCAGGTTCTGGTACACAGCTAGAGTCCAGATGAACAACCAGAACTGTAAAACAGATGGGTATGCAACACTCAGGTTCTGGTACACAGCTAGAGTCCAGATGAACAACCAGAACTGTAAAACAGATGGGTATGCAACACTTAGGTTCTGGAACACAGCTAGAGTCTAGATGAACAACCAGAACTGTAAAACAGATGGGTATGCAACACTCAGGTTCTGGTACACAGCTAGAGTCCAGATGAACAACCAGAACTGTAAAACAGAAGGGTATGCAACACTCAGGTTCTGGTACACAGCTAGAGTCTAGATGAACAACCAGAACTGTAAAACAGAAGGGTATGCAACACTTAGGTTCTGGTACACAGCTAGAGTCTAGATGAACAACCAGAACTGTAAAACAGATGGGTATGCAACACTCAGGTTCTGGTACACAGCTAGAGTCCAGATGAACAACCAGAACTGTAAAACAGAAGGGTATGCAACACTCAGGTTCTGGTACACAGCTAGAGTCCAGATGAACAACCAGAACTGTAAAACAGATGGGTATGCAACACTCAGGTTCTGGTACACAGCTAGAGTCTAGATGAACAACCAGAACTGTAAAACAGATGGGTATGCAACACTCAGGTTCTGGAACACAGCTAGAGTCCGGATGAACAACCAGAACTGTAAAACAGATGGGTATGCAACACTCAGGTTCTGGTACACAGCTAGAGTCTAGATGAACAACCAGAACTGTAAAACAGAAGGGTATGCAACACTCAGGTTCTGGTACACAGCTAGAGTCCAGATGAACAACCAGAACTGTAAAACAGATGGGTATGCAACACTCAGGTTCTGGTACACAGCTAGAGTCTAGATGAACAACCAGAACTGTAAAACAGATGGGTATGCAACACTCAGGTTCTGGTACACAGCTAGAGTCCAGATGAACAACCAGAACTGTAAAACAGAAGGGTATGCAACACTCAGGTTCTGGTACACAGCTAGAGTCCAGATGAACAACCAGAACTGTAAAACAGATGGGTATGCAACACTCAGGTTCTGGTACACAGCTAGAGTCCAGATGAACAACCAGAACTGTAAAACAGATGGGTATGCAACACTCAGGTTCTGGTACACAGCTAGAGTCCAGATGAACAACCAGAACTGTAAAACAGATGGGTATGCAACACTCAGGTTCTGGTACACAGCTAGAGTCCAGATGAACAACCAGAACTGTAAAACAGATGGGTATGCAACACTCAGGTTCTGGAACACAGCTAGAGTCCAGATGAACAACCAGAACTGTAAAACAGATGGGTATGCAACACTTAGGTTCTGGAACACAGCTAGAGTCTAGATGAACAACCAGAACTGTAAAACAGATGGGTATGCAACACTCAGGTTCTGGAACACAGCTAGAGTCCAGATGAACAACCAGAACTGTAAAACAGATGGGTATGCAACACTCAGGTTCTGGAACACAGCTAGAGTTCAGATGAACAACCAGAACTGTAAAACAGATGGGTATGCAACACTCAGGTTCTGGTACACAGCTAGAGTCCAGATGAACAACCAGAACTGTAAAACAGATGGGTATGCAACACTCAGGTTCTGGTACACAGCTAGAGTCCAGATGAACAACCAGAACTGTAAAACAGATGGGTATGCAACACTCAGGTTCTGGTACACACAGTCCAGATGGAGTCCAGATGTAAAACAGATGGGTATGCAAACACAGTACAAGCTGTAAAACAATGGGTAAACAGATGGTATGCAACACTCAGGTTTTGGTACACAGCTAGAGTCCAGATGAACAACCAGAACTGTAAAACAGATGGGTATGCAACACTTAGGTTCTGGTACACAGCTAGAGTTCAGATGAACAACCAGAACTGTAAAACAGATGGGTATGCAACACTTAGGTTCTGGAACACAGCTAGAGTCTAGATGAACAACCAGAACTGTAAAACAGATGGGTATGCAACACTCAGGTTCTGGTACACAGCTAGAGTTCAGATGAACAACCAGAACTGTAAAACAGATGGGTATGCAACACTCAGGTTCTGGTACACAGCTAGAGTTCAGATGAACAACCAGAACTGTAAAACAGATGGGTATGCAACACTCAGGTTCTGGTACACAGCTAGAGTTCAGATGAACAACCAGAACTGTAAAACAGAAGGGTATGCAACACTCAGGTTCTGGTACACAGCTAGAGTCTAGATGAACAACCAGAACTGTAAAACAGATGGGTATGCAACACTCAGGTTCTGGTACACAGCTAGAGTCCAGATGAACAACCAGAACTGTAAAACAGAAGGGTATGCAACACTCAGGTTCTGGTACACAGCTAGAGTCTAGATGAACAACCAGAACTGTAAAACAGAAGGGTATGCAACACTCAGGTTCTGGTACACAGCTAGAGTCCAGATGAACAACCAGAACTGTAAAACAGAAGGGTATGCAACACTCAGGTTCTGGAACACAGCTAGAGTCTAGATGAACAACCAGAACTGTAAAACAGAAGGGTATGCAACACTTAGGTTCTGGTACACAGCTAGAGTCTAGATGAACAACCAGAACTGTAAAACAGAAGGGTATGCAACACTCAGGTTCTGGTACACAGCTAGAGTCCAGATGAACAACCAGAACTTTCCGCCAGAGTTTACAGCTGCTGAACTTGAAGAAGAAGATTTCATCGCTGATATGACAGCACAGAGATTGCACAGGATACAATGGAACAGATATTGCACAGGATACAACGAAACAGAGATTGCACAGGATACAATGGAACAGAGATTGCACAGGATACAATGGAACAGAGATTGCACAGGATACAATGGAACAGAGATTGCACAGGATAAAATGGAACAGAGATTGCACAGGATACAATGGAACAGAGATTGCACAGGATACAATGGAACAGAGATTGCACAGGATACAATGGAACAGAGATTGCACAGGATACAATGGAACAGAGATTGCACAGGATACAATGGAACAGAGATTGCACAGGATACAATGGAACAGAGAAATAGTCTGCCAGCCCTGTTTGAAATACAAAGACACAACAGGACAGTGACGATGTGGAATAACCAGAGTGTGGCTAGATTTCTGTGATCTTAATAGCAACAGTCTATATGCCTAGCACACACTTGTTGAAATAGCTGGATACATGTGATTTTCACATGATCAGACAATAATGTGCACAAATTTCTTCAGATAGCTTGTTTACTCCTGCAGCTTTTCTACTAATGTCAAACAGGAGCAAGGTCATGGGCAATGAATCTCACCAGTAGTTAGGACACATTCACCAGCTTGTGATTGTCTTCAGTTCAGATCTCACTCTCTCTCTGTGTTTGTGTGTGTATGCATGCATGTACATGTGTGTGTGTGTGTGTGCGTGCGCACTTGTGTGTGTCTGTGTAGGTGTATGAATGCATGTCTCTTCCTTTATCTATCTCTTTGCCCCTCCCCCAACCCCCATCTCCACCACAGGTTTCTGGGGATGACACTGACAATTTTATGGAAGGTAAGGTGGTTGGCATGATAACGACCACTTCCTGCCTTCAATGCTGACTGGTCACAGATTCCAAGATACTTCACAGATATCGCTGGTGACCATTTTGATTTACTCTACGCTCCAAGGCATTTTTTTTTTTTTTTGTTGTTGCTTCAGCAACTGAGCTGGAGTTTGTGGGCTTGAAATGCCTCAAACATACAATGGAAACAAACATGAGCCAACTAAGGTTCAATCAAAGCTAGATGTGTGGACAATGAAATGCCTCAAACCTTTAGTGGAAACAAACATCAGCCAACTTGGGCTCAATCAAAGCTAGTCTCTATGTAATGTGCTTAATCATCACCTGGTTACATCTTTATCAGCCTCTCTTCAGATGGAAGTTCTAATACCACCAGTCTCATTTCTGAGCTTGCAGAGAAAGAGAGATCTGCTACTGGTCTTTACACTAGTCTCCTTCCAAGAGATGTGAGCCCTGTTCTGGGTCCAACAGTCTCAATCTTTACACTTGTCTCATTCCAAGAGATGTAAGCCATGTTCTGGGTCCAACAGTCTCAATCTTTACACTTGTCTCATTCCAAGAGATGTAAGCCCTGTTCTGGGCCCAACAGTCTCAATCTTTACACTAGCCTCATTCCAAGAGATGTAAGCCCTGTTCTGGGTCCAACAGTCTCAATCTTTACACCAGTCTCATTCCAAGAGATGTAAGCCCTGTTCTGGGCCCAACAGTCTCAATCTTTACACTTGTCTCATTCCAAGAGATGTAAGCCCTGTTCTGGGCCCAACAGTCTCAATCTTTACACTTGTCTCATTCCAAGAGATGTAAGCCCTGTTCTGGGTCCAACAGTCTCAATCTTTACACTAGCCTCACTCCAAGAGATGTGAGCCCTGTTCTGGGTCAAACAGTCTAAATCTTTACACCAGTCTCATTCCAAGAGATGTAAGCCCTGTTCTGGGCCCAACAGTCTCAATCTTTACACTTGTCTCATTCCAAGAGATGTAAGCCCTGTTCTGGGCCCAACAGTCTCAATCTTTACACTAGCCTCATTCCAAGAGATGTAAGCCCTGTTCTGGGTCCAACAGTCTCAATCTTTACACTAGCCTCACTCCAAGAGATGTGAGCCCTGTTCTGGGTCAAACAGTCTAAATCTTTACACCAGTCTCATTCCAAGAGATGTAAGCCCTGTTCTGGGCCCAACAGTCTCAATCTTTACACTTGTCTCATTCCAAGAGATGTGAGCCCTGTTCTGGGCCCAACAGTCTCAACATCAAATAACTGCAGTCAGTTTCCAGGCTTCTAGCAGAGCATACATTGATCCTGGGTGCTGTGCCGGCAATCAAGTACTTGACTAGACTGACTGAGCCTTGCACAACTAACCACAGCTAAAAGGGAGACTACCTTCACATCAAACTAATAATGTTTTGAGAGTTATCAACCCTGCTGACCTTCTCTAACAAGTAGCTGATGACCAGAAATCCTCGGTTCTGTATCATCTGCTGTTGGATGACCGGGGAACACTCGATTAGATCACCCAGCAGACAGATCAGGTTGGCGCTGCCAGAAAACAACAAAATGCTCATTAACAACACCCAAAGATGACATTTAAAGACAAAAGTGTTTAGTAACATCTTCCAGCAAACAAGAATAATAATAGAGAATAGTAAACTGACACCATAGCAACAAAATAATCTAAATGAAACATACAATAAATGACATTTATTTTAGGAGTGAACATACAGGATGAATTATTCTGCAATAAGACATAGCAACAATACAAGGTTAATCAATTAACACAAAATGCCTTCATCTCTTTATATATCAGCTGTTTTTGGCTCACCTTTTTTATCATTTTTTCTCTCAATGAGGCACAATCAGGGATTACCCTCACAGCACAGCACCTGTTGCTTGGCTCTCTCTGACAGTCCCCTCCATGCTGTCCCAATATTATTCCACCTTACTTCTGGTTGTCTCCACATGACATCATTACTCTTGAAGACAAATTTTCAAGACTGGCTAACTCACTTTTCCTTTCAAACCAGTGGCAGATCATGGGTAAACACTGTGAAACTGCAGCTTCTTATCTTGGACACATGTGTATGTGCGCACCAGACTGAACACTTGTGAAACTGCAGCTTCTTATCTTGGACATATGTGTATGTGCGCACCAGACTGAACACACTTGTGAAACCGCAGCTTCTTATCTTGGACATGTGTGTATATGCGCACCAGACTGAACACACTTGTGAAACCGCAGCTTCTTATCTTGGACATATGTGCATGTGCGCCCCAGACTGAACACTTGTGAAACTGCAGCTTCTTATCTTGGACATGTGTGTATGTGCACACCAGACTGAACACTTGTGAATCTGCAGCTTCTTATCTTGGACATGTGTGTATGTGCGCACCAGACTGAACACTTGTGAAACTGCAGCTTCTTATCTTGGACATGTGTGTATGTGCGCACCAGACTGAACACTTGTGAAACTGCAGCTTCTTATCTTGGACATGTGTGTATGTGCGCACCAGACTGGATACTTGTGAAACTGCAGCTTCTTATCTTGGACATATGTGTATGTGCGCACCAGACTGAACACTTGTGAATCTGCAGCTTCTTATCTTGGACATGTGTGTATGTGCACACCAGACTGAACACTTGTGAATCTGCAGCTTCTTATCTTGGACATGTGTGTATGTGCGCACCAGACTGAACACTTGTGAAACTGCAGCTTCTTATCTTGGACATGTGTGTATGTGCGCACCAGACTGAACACTTGTGAAACTGCAGCTTCTTATCTTGGACATGTGTGTATGTGCGCACCAGACTGGATACTTGTGAAACTGCAGCTTCTTATCTTGGACATGTGTGTATGTGCGCACCAGACTGAACACTTATGAAACCGCAGCTTCTTATCTTGGACATATGTGCATGTGCGCCCCAGACTGAACACACTGTGAAAATGCAGCTTCTTATCTTGGACATATGTGCATGTGCGCCCCAGACTGAACACACTGTGAAAATGCAGCTTCTTATCTTGGACAAATGTGCATGTGCATACCAGACTGAACACACTGTGAAAATGCAGCTTCTTATCTTGGACATATGTGCATGTGCGCCCCAGACTGAACACACTGTGAAACTGCAGCTTCTTATCTTGGACATGTGTGCATGTGCGCACTAGACTGAACATACTGTTCAGCTGTTGTGCACATGTAATTGTAACTCTCATCACAGCACACCTGGAAGTCTATTTCTTTAGCCAATTCCTAATTCTCCAGCCCTGGGTGCCAATGTGCATCTTCAATGTCCTGTATCCACCTTCGCAGAGGAGACCTCTACACAACCATCTGTTTTTCACCCAGATTCAAGGACAATGTTACATTACAACAAGCCAATGGTTACAGCCATTTCCTGACACTGGTTCTTGCTCTCCCTCTTTACCTTATCTTTAGCACAGTCACATGCAAACACTATTACATTCCAAAATAGAATCCAATGCTAAAATCCACAAAGAGAAGAATCACTTTTGATGATAAGAGATTTGACCTAAGAGCATATTCTACTGATGATAAACTGAAAGCTTATCTGCCAAAATGTTATAGAGTTGAAATACTAAAACAACTCCAGACAGGAGCGTGAAGTCCGAGGCTGTGGTTGAAAGGACACACACGTGCAGATCTTACCAGGTGGTATAATCCACTTCACTAGGTTTGTCTGGACCACGATCCACGGGCATGTCCAGCTGTCCAAACAGAGGGAAGAGGATCTGAACCCCTCCCAAGGAGTGCAGGGTGCTGTGTATGGAGTGGGTGATGATTGCCTTCACCTCCTGCAGATGGACACATGGAAATATTCACTTAATAATAAACAACACACATGGGGCAGCAGACAAAGGAAGACAGACTGTGGAAAGGTAACTTGGTAAGGACAGTCATTCTAGGGACAGCAGACAAAGGAAGACAGACTGTGAAAAGGTAACTTGGTAAGGACAGTCATTCTAGGGACAGCAGACAAAGGAAGACAGACTGTGAAAAGGTAACTTGGTAAGGACAGTCATTCTAGGGACAGCAGACAAAGGAAGACAGACTGTGAAAAGGTAACTTGGTAAGGACAGTCATTATAGGGACAGCAGACAAAGGAAGACAGGTAACTGTGAAAAGGTAACTTGGTAAGGACAGTCATTCTAGGGACAGCAGACAAAGGAAGACAGACTGTGAAAAGGTAACTTGGTAAGGACAGTCATTCTAGGGACAGCAGACAAAGGAAGACAGACTGTGAAAAGGTAACTTGGTAAGGACAGTCATTCTAGGGACAGCAGACAAAGGAACACAGACTGTGAAAAGGTAACTTGTTAAGGAAAGTCATTCTAGGGACAGTGGACAGAGGAAGATACAACTGATGAGGTAAATGTGTGCTAAACTGATATAATAGGGATAATGGACGGGGAAATATAGATTATGATGAGGTAACGGATGATGACAGACATAACAGAGACAGTGGATAGTTACAGACTGTAACAAGGTAAACACAATTTGATGAATTTATGATAATGATAATTTATGGGTCAGTAGCTCTACATTTAGGGCCGAATGTCTGAAGCAAGTGAAAGAATTTCAATATTAAGGAAGTATATTCTGGGAGGATGGAGAATAGATTGGGGAAATGGAAATAAAATGCCAATGAGCCAGTGTACTTATATACAAACGGACACTATTACTGAGACATCCAAACATAAGTATGACAGCCAAGAAGCAGATTATAAACACATTCATACCAACACTGTGCTACCAGTGCCAGACGTGGACATTATCAAAGGCTAACCTACGTAAAATTAACACCTGTAGACTGAGATGCCTGAGAAAGGCTGCCAACTTAAGGATCTGAGACAAAGTTAGAAATGATACTATCAGACAGACTGTGGGAAAAGAACAATGCAAGAAATTCTCTGAGAAACAGAAGGTCTAATGGTCTGGTCACTTCATTAAAATGCAGACACAACAACATGACACAAATGCAGACACAACAACATGACACAAATGCAGACACAACAACATGACACAAATGCAGACACAACAACATGACACAAATGCAGACACAACAACATGACACAAATGCAGACACAGGTGCTACACATTAAAAAAATCTGATGAAAAGCAAGACGCTGTTCTAGGAGAAGATGGATTGATGACATTTTATAAAAAAAAGTAAAGTAGAGTCAGAAGATGTGAACCAGCGTTACTGCACACAGTTATAAACCATAAGTGCTCTGCCACCAGTACAGACAGCTAATAAGAAACTGTCCGCCTGTGTCGCCATCTGCACGTAACTCCATAGCTACAGCGACATTCCTCCATTCACCCTAAAGTTTCAACTCTGGTACCCAATTTCCTAGAGGCTGGGTGAACCTCGATTGATTGATGGCATTAAAGAGCTTCTACGTTGACACAGAATAACAATGGCCACTGCCACCCATCAAGTAACGGACAGCAGAAGTGGAAACTGTCGATGATAATAATTTATGACATTGAGCTAAAACATCAAATGCTTACCTGGCACATCATGGCGTGTGGAGAGTGGAGGAAATGGGACTGGTTTCCCTTGGGAGAGGACTCCAGGCACAGCTGGCTGTCACAGGCTATGGGGTTGTACATGAACACGATACAAGTGGTCAGCTTGCCGTCGTAGAGCGCCTGCAGAGAGGATCAACAAGTCATCGTCAGCACAAAGGTAGCAATCAGACAAATTACGGCCAACATAAAGTAACAATCAGGCTAGCACAAGGAAGAGAATTCTTTTGGATCTATCACTGTTTGTTTGTTGAACAGACAGAGTGTCCTGATGAGCTGTGCAAGTTCAGAAAGAACATCGGTACAGCAGACACAAGCTTTGACACTGGCCACATAAGGGTCAGTACAAGTAAGGGATCCTTTCCAAACTGGGCATATGATGCTAGGCTCTTAGTTGTGTAGATCAACTGGCAATAGTTGTGACATCACATCAAACTGGCCACCTTTACTTCCTCAGACTTTACCTGCTCCCAATTTTAGGCTGGGTCAACCTGGGAGCCAAGGTCATTTTTAGAAACAATCTAAATAGTTGCAGATTTAAACCCAAGACCTCTAGACTAGTGGACAAGCATCTAGCCACTACACTGCAGCAGTTCCACATAAAGGGGTGTTGTGTATAAACTGTGCTGTGTGAATGTGTCACTGGTGGTCACACAGCACACACTGACAGTGGAGGAGGAGAGGTTAGACAACTGCATAACCTAGGCTGACCATCTCACTTCACCACTTTTCCTTCTCAGACAACTCACACGTAGCTTTGACAATGATCCACGACCCACCTGATCAGGCCGGGTCAACCACAAAGCCACACCAGGTGTATCAAATAATTCAGTCACTGCTAGAGATGGAACTATTTGGATCTGGCAGTGTATGAATGTTCTTTGTACTGTGGGTAACCTGTAACTTATGAATCTTTCTATCTCTGTCATGCATCTCCTATTTATTCTGTCTATTCCCTGTCCTCTCATTGATCTCTCTTCCTCGTGTTTTTTCTCTCTATGTGTATTTCTAAAAGTATACCTTTAATAAGCGTCATCAACAATATACCCAACCACCTGTTTGTACATGCTCACTTTCCGACCCACACAGCAACTCTGCTAATCACAACTACAACTGACTCCATGTTCAATTATTCTGGAAATGCAATATTAAAATACACATGTATATGATAAACATTCACAGATTACTACTGAACAGTTAAAATGTTGAACTAACTGTAGCAGACAGTCAGTCCAAGCCGAAGAGTACAAGTTACTGACAAGGAAACCCTCAAATATTTAAAGTCTGCCTGCCACAGGTGCTTAACTCTTTGAGTCCCAAGGAACGCATCATACGTTCATAGGTTCCTACCTAGAAGCCCAATGAACGCATGATGCGCCGATTTTATAACTTTCGTTACTACCCCCAGGGCCTGTGATGCTAAACCCCCTGGGCCTGTGATGCTAAACCCCCTGGGCCTGTGATTCTAAACCCCCAGTGCCTGTGATGCTAAACCCCCTGGGCCTGTGATGCTAAACCCCCTGGGCCTGTGATGCTAAACCCCCAGTGCCTGTGATGCTAACCCCCTGGGCCTGTGATGCTAAACCCCCAGTGCCTGTGATGCTAAACCCCCTGGGCCTGTGATGCTAAACCCCCAGTGCCTGTGATGCTAAACCCTCTGGGCCTGTGATGCTAAACCCCCTGGGACTCAAAGAGTTAAGAAGAAGATGTATGTAAACAAGGCAGCTCTTGAGCTAGCAAAGCTGCTGACGAGTAACTTCTATCACAGGCAGTCACAAGCAAGAGCTGCAGAAGTGATAAATATATACTGGCAGCAAAAGCATCTCCAGGTAAACATACAAACTGGGATAACCAAGCATCTACACAGCAAATATCTTCAAACACAATTTGGGATAACCAAGCATCTACACAGCAAATATCTTTAAACACAATTTGAGATAACCAAGCATCTACACAGCAAATATCTTCAAACACAATTTGAGATAACCAAGCATCTACACAGCAAATATCTTCAAACACAAACTGGGATAACCAAGCATCTACACAGCAAATATCTTCAAACACAACATAGTAACTGAAGAAGCAAATGTGTTTAACATGCAAGCAATACTTCTTCATGCTCAGTATAGTTGACCAGTATGAACAGCTGGACAGTGAGAACAGCTGGACAGTGAGAACAGCTGGATAGAAAGATCATTTGTAAAGACTTTGAAAAACAGATATTGTTAATTACTGATGCAACAATCACAAAACTGCTGCCAAGCAACATCTTCATGACTTGTTCAATGTACTCAGAACCGGTGTCTACCATGTGATTACCTGTAATTATTGCTGTTGATGTCTCAGTCTTGTATTTTAAAGAATAAGTCTATATTTGTACTTGCTGATCTATCCTGGTTTCGTTACCTAGCCTGGTTTGGTTACAATAAGGCTAATAAGTCCTTGAGGCCCCGCCCCGCCCCCACACCCCCAATTCTTGCAACATTAGTCTTCTTCTTCGCGTTCACCAGCTGTAAACTCTGGCAGAAAGTTCTGGTTGCTCGTTCACCAGCTGTAAACTCTGGCAGAAAGTTCTGGTTGCTCGTCCACTACTGAACTGCAGTCCTGCTCCAGAACCTGAGTGTTGCATGTGCACCAGTTTTACAGATCTCATTCTCTTGAATACAGACTGTTGGTTAATTGCCTCTCCGGCAGATGCACTCCGACTTCAAAGGAAGCTCCCCAATTAGTCGACTCTTACGACATGCTTTTGGGGAGGCAGTGGGTCTATTCTTGTTTTCCCCACAATGGGGCCCCGGAACCCACATGGGGGGCAACATTAGTATATCTGTTCTTCTTTCCTGGTGGGAAGAGGCAGGGGCTGACTAATAAAACAATCCACACAAATCAGTACAATCACAGAGGGTATTCTAACATGAGGCAGGATAACTAAAAATAATCAAGTGTCTTGTCAGTAGACCATGATGACAGCACCGTCGGTAGGCCATGACAACAGCACCGTCAGTAGGCCATGACGACAGCACTGTCAGTAGGCCATGACGACAGCACTGTCAGTAGACCACGACGACAGCACCGTCAGTAGGCCATGATGACAGCACCATCAGTAGGCCATGATGACAGCACCATCAGTAGGCCATGATGACAGCACCGTCAGTAGGCCATGATGACAGCACCGTCAGTAGGCCATGATGACAGCACCGTCAGTAGGCCATAATGACAGCACTGTCAGTAGGCCATGACGACAGCACCGTCAGTGAGCCATGACAACAGCACCGTCAGTAGGCCATGACGACAGCACTGTCAGTAGGCCATGAGGACAGCACCGTCAGTAGGCCATGATGACAGCACCGTCAGTAGGCCATGACGACAGCACCATCAGTAGGCCATGACGACAGCACCGTCAGTAGGCCATGATGACAGCACCGTCAGTAGGCCATGACGACAGCAACATTAGGTCAAGTGCCAAACAGTTGCCATGATGACAGCAACATTAGGTCAAGTGCCAAACAGTTGCCATGATGACAGCAACATTAGGTCAAGTGCCAAACAGTTGCCATGATGACAGCAACATTAGGTCAAGTGCCAAACAGTTGCCATGATGACAGCAACATTAGGTCAAGTGCCTAACAGTTGTGATGACGACAGCAACATTAGGTCAAGTGCCAAACATTTGAGATGACAACAGCAACATTAGGTCAAGTGCCAAACAGTTGTGATGACGACAGCAACATTAGGTCAAGTGCTAAACAGTTGTGATGACGACAGCAACATTAGGTCAAGTGCCAAACAGTTGTGATGACGACAGCAACATTAGGTCAAGTGCCAAACAGTTGTGATGATGAATATTTGTAACAGAAGCTCTATGTGTCTCTAAGGGGAAACATGTTCTGGTCCATGTTCATAATTCATTATATACAGTTGAAACACTTGAATTATTACTGCTTGCACGTATTTATAAACTGTGCAGGAACTTCTGGCATTTTTCTTCATATGTATGATAATATAAATACATAATGTACAAGAGACAACATGCAGAATATTTACAAACAATGAGAACATGTACAGCACACATCATACATTCTCCAAAAGATTCTGTATATATTTTTCATGCTACAACTGAAACCTTCCAGCTCTGAACAATTCTAACTAGAGATTCAGTCAGCTGGTCTTCAACCTGGCTAGCAGGCTCGTCTTGTCCACTCTCTTATATATATTTTTTTTAAAGAGAGGGAGCGATAGAGAGTGACACCATTCAGTGTTTACTAGTTCTTACAGGATAGATTGCTAACAGCAACCATAACAGTCTGTACATGAGGCTTCTTATTCTGTCTTTCATCCCTCAATGAAGTTTACATCAGTTTCATGACCAGCCTTCCCTGTTGCCCTTCACCAAAAGATGCCAACGGTCAGTTTCCAGTGTTACTATTCTCTGCTTGCTGTACGTGGTCAAGATAAAGCACGGTTGATGTATGTGTGCTCAGGTCAAACAGAAATCATTCCTAGATCGATGCTGCCACTGGAGCATGGAGTTTGAGGTTTTTACATATCTCTGGTTGTCGGGCGTCCAGTTCCCATCTTAGCCACATTTTATTCTCACTAAATTCTTTTTAATTAAAAAAAACCTAAACAAATAATCCGCTACCACTGGTAACTTTCTACAGCTCGGCTGCTCTGAGACAGTGCTGACAATGCCAAGGTTTGAACCCGAATATTACTTAGTAAAATAAGTGCTCTAATTACTAAATTCCATGCATTCTTCCACTGGAGGCATTTTGTGTATAATTAATAATAAAATTCCATTAAGTATGTCAGAGAAATTATAGCAAGTGAATGTCTTAAACAGCATGATTTTAACAACCATTTATGCACAATAAAAATGTAAAAACAAAAACAAATCAGATGAATTAATGAAAAGTACAGAAAAGAACTAGTGTACAACAAAAATGTGTGCAAAAACTAAATATTAACAATTAAGTGCACACCAAAAAGCCATTTGGAAATCTCAATGAGTTCATCAAAGATCTGAGAGCCACTACATATAAAAGTGAAGCCTGGACAACAAATACATGCAGATGTGGCTGCTGGATCAATAAAATGTGTATTTGTGAGTATTTCAGGAAGGG